CTGGGCTTCATGTGTGCCAGGTGCCAGGTGGGGTACTGGCCCTGCAGTTTGTAGCAACGGGGTGGAAGGGCAGGGCCGGGATAGAGAAGACCTGGATGACGAGGGACTGTTAGACATGGCTGTGTCTTCTGGGTTTGTATTTGGAGGGCTTTGGAAGGTCTCCTGATAAAAACAACTACAAAATGGACTAGATTCCAGGTGGATAAGGAGATAAAGTTTTGAGCTAAACCTGAGATTTCCACATAATTCAGTTATCACAGGAGAAAAGACAGCCTCCAACTGAGGTCTAATCCCTGCCTCGGAGACTTTCCAGGGAAGTAGAGTGCATTAGTGCCAGGAGGCATTTCTCAGGCTTTGTGGCAAAGCCTTGCTCTCTAGAGAACCCTGACTTCTGCTGGGAGCCCCAAGAGAGGCAACTGGCTTTGCTAAGTCAGTGGCCAGGACTTCCCTAGGCTTGGACTCAGCTGGAGCAGCCCACTGCCTGCAACCCTTCCTCAGAAGCCATTCAGACACCTTTGTGATGGCAGAGCAGCTGCAGGCTGTGAGGTCACCATGGTGACGGGTGATAGCCTGCCCTCTCCACCTGCGTCCTGTTGTGGTCCTGGCAGGCTCTTTGGATGTAGAAGGACTGAAGGTCAGAGCCTGCCCACCAGCTGCCCCAGAGCTGCAGTGAGCACCACAGTGCCCTCTTGCAGCACCAACTCCAAATGTGCTCTGAGCAGAGGCAAATGGGTTAGAAAAGTGCCCTGAAGGAGCGGATGGAGGGGTTACACACATAAGCTATTGTTCTTACAAATAAAATGGAACTCATTACTCAGGAACCAGTAAAATTCATGATGTTAGAAAGGACAGGACCATTGAGGTGGCCCAGTGGATAAAAGCACTTGTTGCTAAGCTCAAGGACCCAAGTTCGAACCCAGGAAGCAACATGGCAAGAGAATTGAACTGACTCACACATTGTTCTCTGGTCCTCTCCCACACAGGTGACACATTCAGGCACACAGAGACACACACAAATAAACAAGTTTGAGTGAGGGGAAGATTCTTCATATCTCCCAGGCTCTGTGATTGCTCACCTATCCTGTCTTCCTAGCATTGCATTGAAAGCATTTGTAAGATCATTTGCTTCCGTGTTGACTGAAGGATGAAGAACAACCCGATTTTTCAAAAATCTATTTTAAGGACAGTCAAGTTTCCTATTACTGAAACAAAGAAACCCTGACTATTTTAGCAAGTGCTTTTAAGTGACCAAAAAGCTTTTTTTCTTTTAGAGCACCATTAACAGTTACTCATCAATTAATGTCAGCTGGGTTGTTACTTGGGCTTTGTAAATTCATTTGTCAATAAAGGTGAGAAGACAAAGTGGAGGAAAGGCAGGGGAGTCCTTTTACGGTTCTTGATGAGAGGAGGGCCAGCTGTCCTTCTAAAAAACTGTTATTGTGGTTTTTTTTTCTTGAGGATCCCTACCTTAAAAAAATCACAAGATAAATAAATAGTTATATTTTATCTATCTATCTATTTATCTGTCCATCCTGTAGATCCATGGTGTGGGGGCCAGAAAACAACTTGCAGGAGTTGATTCTTCCCAACACGTGGGTTCTGAGAGAGCCTTGGGCTTGGCAGCAAGTGCCTTAATCTACTGAGCCATCTTGACAACCGTACTACCCACAATTTGTATTGCTCCCCATAAACCCCCTTTACTCTTCAGTCCCCTTTCTAAAACATTTATCAGAACTATCCATTCCTTATCAGGGCTTGAGTTGAACACTGGTAAAATTGTTTTCTCATATCTGAACCACACTTGTGTGTATTCTTTGCTGTAGTCCAGGGATAAGGTAGCTTGTTTTTGTTTGTTTGTTTGTAGTAACAAAAGCATGTTATTTTATGGAGTTTATGGTTTGATACCAGGATCTTTGCTGATGTTTTCTGTGCTGCCAGTGTCAGCCTGCCTAGTCTCTTTGGGTTAATATGTCCCTCTCTCACCTCACTTCAGACTTTCTCACTGGAACACAATAAACACATATTAAAAACATACGTATTGTAAGAATTCAGCTTGATAAATTTGTACACAGAGAATGGCTGTGTGACTAACACAGTCCATTGTCTTTCCGCAGAAGTCCCTCCACATTCCTTTGCCATCCTTGTCTCACCCAGTCTGCACTAACCACTCTCTGTCCTGACTGCTAATGCCAACACCTCATCCTTCCTGTTACATATTTATAAAGATGCAGGGACACATTGTTCATTATTTTGTATCTCATTGGTTCTCTTTGCCACTCACTTTCATCACCCCCCCACTTTTAAAATCAGATCTAGGCATCTAACAACTAAAATATGCTATCTCAGCACTGACTGTTTTTACTGTGACTGACATAGTCCCTGTGTTGTGTCAGATCCTTGAGTTAGAAAGTGTCCATGTGTCTGTGTGTCTGTGTGTGTCTGCTGGGAACTGAACCTAGGCCCTTGCTCATTATAGGCAGGTATTTTTACTACCTCACAGCCCTAGAATTTTACTTGAACCATTACTGTTTTTTTTTTCTTTTTTTTTGTTGTTGTTCCTTTTAGTGCTCAAAGTCAGCCACTTTCCCCACAGGTTAAAGTATACTCTTATACTGGGGAACCCCAGAGACAATGTTCATGTGAATGCATTTCATTTCCTTAGCAGGTTATTTAATGAATTGATCTGGGAAGTGGTTATTTGGAGTTGGGAAGGTCTTTAATTCATGTGTGCAGTTCAGTATTTAGTTCATAGTTATGGTTCATACATGTGCTGTATGGCAGGGCAGGGATCAGAGGCAGGGGGATGAAGTGGCCGCTGTCCTAGAGCAGTGGCCCAGCCCATAAGGCTCAATAGAAGGTGGTCATAGTTATAACATGGGAACCTGAGAAAATAGAAGACAGATTTTTATAGTGGTGGGTGAGAACTTGCAAGAAAATGTTTAACAGATAGTCAAATATATATTTATGTATCTGCCTATAGATATTATGTGTAATATATATGTTTATATTTAGCAAACATGTTTATTATGTATTTATACTTAAAGAATCACATAGCAGTTTCGTTATTCGATTCAGGGGTGATTTTCTTTTCTTTTTCTTTTTCTTTTTTTTTTTTTTTTTTTTTTTTTTTTTGGTTTTTCGAGACAGGGTTTCCCTGGGTAGCTTTGGACCCTATCCTGGCACTCACTCGGGAGCCCGGGCTGGCCTCTAACTCACAGAGATCCCCCTGCCTCTGCCTCCTGAGTGCTGGGATTAAAGGCGTGCGCCACCAATGCCTGGCTTCAGGGGTGATTTTCAAGTAGAATTTTAAATCCAAGTTAAGGTATTTCACACCTATTATTGTGGAATAAAGAAGTTGTGGCTTCCAGATCAATCACTCATTGTTGGAGAAGTATTGCATTAGCTATGTTGGGCAGCAAAAAGGGGGGACAGCACTCACCCACAACCATGACAGAAATATCTAATGTGTGGGGCTGTAGATGGTCAGTGCAAGCAACATGTCTTCTGAGAGCACACCCAGTGTGGCCCCCTAGGGCTGTGGGCCATGCTTTTAGCTACATGGAGCACAGAGCCCTTGGCAGCTCATGGGCTCTTGCCTGTGACAGCAGCTGCAGACTCTCTGGCTGGCTGCTGAAGTCCCCATGGTCAGGTGATGAAGACTGAGCAACAGGTGTGGACAGTATGCTCTGTGAATGCCACCCACAAGCCTGTGGACCTGCCATCAGACCCCATTGTTCCTGGATGCCTCCCAAGAATCCTTAGGCCACTCTGCTCTAGCAGAGCCAGGCCCTGTTCAGCTGCCATGTGGATCCTGGGTCATCTCACAAATATGCCTGGAACTATTTGTAGCTTTTCAGTTTCCTCATTGTTTGGAATATTTTATTTATGTTTAAAATTTATTTTTGTGTGTATATACACATTTGTGTGGTGGTCATAGGACCACCTGGGGAATTGTCCTCAGGAACACTCTCCAATTCCTTTGAGATTGCCCTGGAGCTTCTTGAATGGATTAGACTGCCTGGTCAGTGAGCCCCAGGGGTCCTCTGGCTTTCACTCCCTCAGACTGGGAATACAAACATGATTACGCCTAACTTCATACATGGGTTCTGGGCATCAGACTCAGGTGCTCATGATGGCCCAGCAAGCACTTTACTGACCAAACTACTGCCTCAGTCTCCGCCATTAGGAATATTCTTTCTACAATGTTTGGTGGCGAGACACAATGTTCTAGATACCATTAGCAAGTAAGCTGGTGTCTGAGCCAGATGTACAAGGAGACTCTCTTTAAACTACCATCCTGCTTATAAGCAAAAGGTTTTTGAAAGGTGGCTGCATCCATGTGAGGCTGAAGACCTTTACACAGGGTACAGGTAAGTGAATCATAGGTTCAGAGAGCATGAAACACCTGGCACGGTAAGGATTGGCACCCAAAGATCCAGTCTAAATTCAGCGTGACTCAAGAGGTTGGCAATAGGCAGTAAATGACACGAGGTGCAAGAGTGAGTGGCTACTTCCACATCTCCCCTCAGCTCTTAGACTTGGTTATTCTGGTCATGCTCTGTAACAATACTCTGTGTTGGGCTGTTGGTTCAGTATAGCCACATTTGCTAGCACAGTGTCTGACTTAAGGTGTTGCTACATCCCAGAGACAGCATTAACTCTGCAGAATGTCATCTCCCCACAGGTACTGCTAGCTACAGCTTCATGAGGTCACTCCATCGCAGTACCGAACCATCTGCTTCTGGATATCCTGGTATGTGGAAGGCAAATGGACTTCACTTTCTGTACCTTATGATGAATGGTTCAGGTGATGGTAATGGTGTGGGAAGACAGCTAGGAGCCGGGGAAGCAAAACCATAGAATACAAATCCATTTAGAATAAGACAGATCTTTGCCCTATTAACCCGCCACCAGGTGGCCCACTGATCAGTGTAGGAATCATGCCTCACGTGGAGCTCAGCACTGCCCTCTGCTGTTAGCTGTGTGTGGTTGACCCAACAGTGTCTCAAAGGTTGGAAGGACAGCTGCTGCTGCTTACATCGTTGTGGTTAAGGTTGGGCACACCCTCAGGTAGGTGTATACATGGGTACCATATATCCTTATGGTCTGCACCTGTTCATTATAGTCTCTGTGCGTGGCCACCCACCCAGTCCCCCCTTGTCACCAGTCTTCCTGTATTGTTGAAGTTCTTAGTTTTTGTTTATCAATCAATGTGGATTTGCACTTCAGACCTTTCTTCTGTTTGCAGATAAGGTGCACAAAGTGGTGCCCACGGGGGGGGGGGGGATAGCCCATCACACTGGTCCTCTACTTCCAGTGGATGCTGTGTAATCTAGGCTTGCTGGTTTGTTTTTCCTCCCTTAATTAGTCAAAGGAAATTATCCGTGGAGTCAGGCACATGTTCTGTGGGAGAGGCAGCTAGGCAGGGGGCACAGAGCCCACAGGCACAGAGTGAATGCTGGTTTCTTCAGGGTTCACCAGAGAATAGGACACACATACATGGCTTTAAGGGTTTGGCTCTTGTGATGGTGAAGGGTTTGCTGAGACCAAACTCTGATGGATGGGGAAGGTTGGCAGGCTGGGACTCCAGGAAGAGCTGCAGTTCGAATCCAAAAGCAGTCTGCTGGTGAATTCTTGTTTGGTGGCCACCATTTGTTCTTTTCAAGCCTTCATGAAATCCCATGAGGCTCAGCCATACGGGGGAGGGCAGTCTTCTTTTCTCAGCTGACCTGTTTAAGTGTGACTCTCTTCTGATTCCCCGGATTCTGCCTCTAGGATATGAGTTGACAAGCTGTCTAGACACTATTGCCCACACAAATTGACACAAAAAATTAACCAACATACTATCTATGGAGTTCTCTTGTGTTTGGTTTTGTAGATGAGATAACATACAGCTCATCATGGGTGGGACTGCTCCCATACTCATTTGGTGCCCTCTGATGGGAGAATCCAGTGGTTTTCAGAGCCAAGGGGCAAGCCATAGGCTGCTTTCCTATTGGAGAATAGCTGTCAGCAACTGAAGCTTTACTGCAGACTCAGGGGATCTCCATGAAATTCCCCGAGAGTTCTCTGCAGACAGCGTTTCATACAGGCTACATTGAAATGTCTCTTTTACTGCCCTCACCACAGCCTGAGGATTTCTGGAAGTGGTGCCTCTGGAACTGGCAGCTTCGCTGGGTTAGAGCAGTGTATACCAAAGTGTGGGAAACATTGTCTCTAACAGCCACAGTGTACCAAAAATTGTCTCTTTCTCTGTAGTTGGAATGTAAGATGTCGGTTCTTTCACTGATTCCTGGTATCTTTTGACTCCCGAGTCCTTAGAAACCTCACGATATAGAGTGACCCCAAACTTTCACAAAATTTGTCTCCCACACTCGAAAATGCAACTGTATTACTAAGGCATGTAGAATGTGTGCTTCATCCTGATCATCAGTACCAGCTAGTACTTCTATGATGAAATACTTCTAAGTGTCTGTCAAGATGTTCAAGCCTCTGAAGACTGTATGACAGAGGGCAAGAGAAGATGTAGCCCTGTGGGAAGCCTCAGGTGGATGTAACTGTTGTTCCTACCGTTGGAAGGTAAATTGTGATGTTTTGAAAGAAAATGGCTCTCAAAGGAAGTGGCACTATTAGAGGGTGTGGCATTGTTGGAGAAGGTGTGGCCTTCTTGGAAGAAATTTGTCACTGAGGGGGTGGGTTTTGAGTTCTCATATATGCTCAAGCCACTCCCAGTGTCTCAGATCACTTCCTGTTGCCTGCAGGATCAAGATGTAGTTCCTTCTCTACTCTCAACTCCTTCTCCAGCACCATTCCTGCCTGTAAGTCACCATAACCTGCCATGAGGATAATGGACTAAACCTCTGAAACTGCAAGCCACCCAATTACATGTTTTCCTTTATAAGAGTTGTTTTGGTCATGGTGTCTCTTCACAGCAATTGAAACCCTAAGATAGCAGCTATTTTTACTGCTTAGAATTAGGAAACTGAAAGAGTTTCATAGCATGAGATCTACATACCAGGTACTGGGTGAGTTTTGGTTTGCCTTACTAAAGGGTCCCAACAACATGTTGCAGAATTCTGTGTGACCCTACAGGCATGCTCTAAGTCCATCAGACTTCTAATGGCTTAAAAAATCTCCAATTCCCCCATGGTTCTGGTGGTACTTCTGACCTACTGTTTTGGCAGTGGGGAGGAGACAGTTTTGGTTGGGGCTCGCCTTTGCTCCACCCCCGAGGCAAGACAAGGGGTTTGGGTTTTGGGGTTTGAACAGTAAGTTTTACATATTCACTGTGAACTTGCCTACCTGACCTGGAATTTTTCTGCCTACATATCTCAGGAAGAGCCTCAATAGTTTCTATATCTGTTTCAATCCTGGGGAACTCATGTTAGCTCTGTCCCTACAAGCTGGACAGCACGGTTACTTCCCAGTCTTGCAGTCCATTGGGGAAACTGTATTTCACTGGCCTCTACTCTTCTGGGATCCCATGTAGCTTTTCCCAGGGCTTACAGCCAACAGCTGGGAAGAGCTTTCCCAGGGCGCCGGTGAGCGCCATATTGATGACAGTGTTACGGGCTTGGGCTTGGGCCTTCAGGGGACTGTGTTTGAAGAGTAGCTTAACATGCTGCATAGAACACATCTCTTCCAACATCCCCACTTTCCCGAGACTTCAGTTTCCTTTCCTTCAGAATTCTAGAATATTCCTTATTAATTGCCAGCCACAGTTGAGTTCAGGCTAACATTAGCCAACAACACTATGATGCCTCCCAGGTGCTCATGCCAGCACAGCAAACCCCAGAGCTCAAGTGAGTCCTCCTATATCATTAAATCCTCCCTGATCGAGTTTCATGTTTCACCCTCCCTTCCCTGTCAGCTCTGCAGTCTCCTGCTGATTTCCTTCCCGGCCTTTTGATGTATAATTTCTTTCCTCCCCCACTTTTCTTCTCTGTCTTGCTTATACTGAAATAAAACTGTCATCATGAGTCTGGGACAAAGAGAAATATGGAAGTGGGTCCTGAAGTGACTTGATAGCCATTCTGGGGCTGCTTACATGTCCCTTGTCCCAACCTATGAACAAGGGTCACCACTTTTGCAGCCAGTGGTAAGCATAAGAAATCTAGTGGGGTGGACATTATTTTTAATGGTTCTGCTTGGCTGTGATTGCTTGAGCCAGTTCCTGGGCTTGCCCCTGACCTGTAGAAGATAAGGAGCTCCCTAACAGTCGCTACCAAGGACTTTGCCTTCCCACTCCTGTTCTGAGTTGGCCATTCAGGAACCTCAGTCTGTCCCTTTTCTGTGTAAGGTTTTAGGGCTGTCAAGAAAGCCATTTTGGTATTTCACATGGTAATTCATGCCAGTAATCCCAGCACCTGGGAGGCTGAGGCAGAAGGACTGTGTGGTTAAGGCTGATGGGGATACCATAAGGAGTTTGGGGCCAGCTGGGCTGATATAGGGAGACTGTTGGCTAATTTGATAGTCAGCCTAATGGGGCATGCAAATTAGAGATGGAGGCTGGCGTCATCAGCATGTGAGTGGTACTTATGAGAGAAGCTAGGCTACTGAGAGCTTAGGGGAAGCATAGACCTACTGCCCTTTTGTACTCAACACATGCTCTCCATGCTCTAGTCCTCCCCCATCCCCCGAGTGTGTCTGTCTGTGTGTCTGTCTGTGTGTCTGTGTGTCTATCTGTCTGTCTCTCACCATTACTAGCATATACGTAAAGCCTTTTGTCTTGGTGTTGGCTCCTCATGCTTAGGGCAGGTTCTTCTTTTCCGCTTGTCAACCCCCAGCCTCTTAGGGCTCAGTTATCATCTTGAGGAGATGCTCCTCTGGAGCCTTCCCATGCCTCGTCTGAGCACCACAGCAGAGTCCCAGCACTGCTCACAGTATGTCCCTGCCTCCTCTACACTCCAGGGCAGGAACAGAAAGAAGCCCACACTGCTCTCCAGTGCCATGACTCAACACTGCTCACACTACCCGAATGCTGTTCTCACTCTCTTCCCTGTACTTCTCTGTAAGCATCTGAGTAGGTAGGTGGAATGTAGAACAGATGCACACTGTCTGGAATGCTACAGGAAACAGTTTGGGCTTGATCTTGCAGACCATGAGGAACCACGTAATGTTCCAGAACACAAGGGTGACATATGTGACACAGCAGTCATGAGGCTGCAGAGCTCTTTCCTGTTTTTGTTGCTTAACCAATTTCAACTTTTGAGGCAGGACAATCTCACCCCAGTCTACTGATCTTGTAGCTGGGACATCACTGTGGCAGGTGCTGACTTCATGGTACTAACCCCACTCACACAAGAGGGGCTTTCTCCTGGGGCAGGAGAGGCCGTAGTGTTGGCAGGCCTGGGTTTCAGGGGAAAACCAGTGTTTAGTTCCTATGACAGACCTAGGGAACTTCCAGTGGCACCTCATCCTGGAACCCTCTGGAGCTGCCCATTCATAGTGGATGGAGTGCAGCTCCTGGTCTCGAAGACATGCAAACTGGTACCCAGTGAGACATTTGGAGGAAATGAGAATAATTTGAATAAATACCAGGCAACTAAAAAAAAATGAGCTGTGAAATTTATCCCTGGAAGAAGGGATGCATCATCTTTAGGCTGTTTGAACAAGCACATGGTATCTGAAGTACATTTATAATAATGTTCTCCACAGAAGAGTGTATGTGAAGACAGCGGAGAGCCAGTGGTGCTGATCTGTAGTGCGAGGCAGATGGACTGTTGTTGGCTTAGTTTTCTCTGTGTGTGAAAAATTTCAAAATACAGAGTAAGGTGCACAACAGGGTGATTATGGCTTCCTATTTCCCCAAGGAGGTGGGAGCGACTGGGAGCATTCTACAGCTTGACAGCTGTCAGAAACAGGTTTCTAGGCTGAGTAAAATGACAGAGTCTGGCAAGAGGCAGATTCGTGGGCACCACTGTCACTTGCTTGCACCGGGGTGTGGTGCAGGCCACATACCTAACTGACTCTCTAGAGGAGAACCACAAGCGTGGTAAAGTATCCACCTAGCTGAAGGACAAGAACGGAGCGTTTGTTCTGTCTCCTGGTAGCCAGCTGCATAGCCTTGA